AGGGTCGGGGGAGAGTTGCGCACCGACCCATTACCCTCTCGCTGGTGAGACTGCGAGCAGACAGCCCGCAAGCAAACTAACAAGAAGACCACACCCCATCAGGCCAAACAAACACACTAAAATAACACATCCAAATAGGATGCCACGGGCATGGGGCCGAGCGTCCTCCGCTCCGACTCATCAGACTTTTCTCGATGAGACTGCGGCCAGACCACACGCAAACAAGCCAACAGGAAGACCACACACTAAACAAAACAGGCAAACCAAAAAACATGACCAACATGGATGCCAGGGCCAGGAAGGCAGAAACGCCTTGCACACCGCCTCACCAGCCTTTTGCTGATGGGACCGCAGGCCGGAGCAACCACACACAAGCACATCAAACAGACAGCCTGGAAAAAAAACAAAAACGGATACCGAGGCCAAGCAGGCCAAGGCATACTTGTGCATAGGCTCATTTGCCTTTAGCTGATGAGACTGCGGTTGGACTGGACCTAAAGAGACCAGACTGGCAGACCTGTCTTAAAACAATAACTGAAAAAAATAGAAGCTGATGATGATTGTTTCGTGGGAATTGCACCGACTCATCAGGAGGCTGAACCCTCGACAGTCTGCGACATCCCCGGTTTTGGATGCGTTAGGTCATGAAAACTTTGACCCCTGTTGAAGGCAGGTTGCTCACAAACGGAACACGGCAGCAGGGAGTGACGCTGTTGTGAAGCACCAGGCAACACACTCAACGCCAGAGCACTGCGCAACACCAAAGACGGCCCACAAACGAAACACGGCAGCAGCGAGGGACGTCGTTGTGAAGCACCAGGCAACACACTCAACACCAGAGCACTGCGCAACACCAAAGACGGCTGCAAGCGGGACACCACGCAAAGCAAGAGGGATGCACAGCAAGACAACGGTGGCACGCAGACAGCACAAGGCAGCCCACACATCCAACACAGAGCCAAGCAACACATGACCTACCCACATCACGGATGAACACCGCAGACTGTTGGTTCCCACCACCCAATGAGCCAGGGAATCACCCCGACGGACAACCA